CAAAACGTTCTCATTTTTCAGCACGAGTTCTTCTTTGATAGCTGGTATTGCACTTTTAATCACATTTACAATTCTTTCCTTCTGACTCATTCATTCTGAAGCTGCTCAAGTTTATAAGCCAAAGCCTTTGCTGTAAGTTGAACTTTTACATGTGTCCTGTTCAGGTTCAACATTCGCACCCGTTTCCATCCCACTCATAATTGAAGCACACACACCTCAGCGCATTTAAACAGGCCACGGCAAACAAGCGAACACAATCCAAAACAACAACCGGATGTCTCACAACTCCAATAGATTCCCCAAAGCCCAGCAGTCTAAACAACGATCAATCAAACACAACAACAGCGCTGCATCAATCGTAAACAAACCGCCAGACCATTTCAAATCATCCGCGAACACAAGCAAAGATGTAAAAACCCAATGTCCTACCAGTTCAAATGCAGCATACATCCGAAGAAGACATCTGTCCTGTTGCTTTGAACGTCCAATTGTGCGGTGGTGGTTGTTGTTGTTGTTGTTGTTAGCAGCAAACATATCCAAACGTCGGTCCTAATGTGTTGGAAGTCCAATGTGCAATAACCCTTTTCATTAAAACAAGGGAGAGCGGGCGAATCTCCGTCAGTTACCGCTGCACTTAATCCTTTCCGTCCAGTTAAAGCGTGAGGGCCTCTTCCTTCGTCTAAAGTCGACGCGTTCAGGACAGGTTCTCAAACAAACAATTTTGACGACTAACTTGTTGCGGCTCGTACAGACAAACCAAAGACCGCTAAGGAACTGAGTGGCTGGAATAACTTCTGTGACGCGTTTCTTTGTAGGCTACAGCTTGCATTATGTTTTATTTTTACAGGCTTGCACGCTTACACGGTCAATTTGTGCTCCAGGGGCCCGTTTCAATAAGGAGGTTCAACCAACTCAGTCTGAGTTAAAACTTGAACTCTGAGTTGACTTAACCCTGAGATGGGAAACTCTGAGTTTTCGGTTACAGAACAGCTGAAATGAGTTAGTTCAATCAACTCTGAGTTGACTGTGTTAAGCGCGTGCACTAAGCCATCAATGGAGCGCATAATTATGAGTCACCATGACAACGGCGCCAGACAAAAAGAGGTGTTGGGTGTAATTAATTACCAAGTAATCTAAATATTGTAATTTAATTAAAGGGATTACCCTTAATTCTTCTGTAATTTAAAATAGAATATGATGCAATTACATAGGCTACTGCATAAACTATAGACCAATTCAGTATAAAACAATAGTGGATTTAACATACATTTTTAAAAGGTATTTTTTATGTAACCTTCTCCCTCTACACACTTTGATCAATTCAAGAATAATTCATGCAATTTTTTATTGTTAATTTGAAAGCATTAAAAGTGCTGTTTCTTGTCTCTCCTCTTTTAATCAAGTGGTTGAGGTTGATAGGATTTAGTAATATGTAGACCAATGTTTTCTAGAGATAGTAATTATTACATTACTCTAACTACACCGTTGAAGATGTCATTTGTTGTTAATAATTCATTACTATTTTAGAGTAACTTACTGTTATTTAGAGGTGAAACTGGAAGAATGTTATTCAACCTAAAGTAGGCTACTATTACTTTGATAAAAAAAAAAATCTGCTCAAGTAAAAAGTAGTTAATTTAAAACATGAGTAAAAGTTGCTAAGTAACTTGTTTAACAGCGGTGGTGGGGTAGGGGAGTTTTATAGTAAGCTATGAGAACCGTCTCAGAAAATATCACGGTTTATGGTATTAAACAATTATTAAATATATAAACTGCATTATTAAATTACGGTTATTATTATAATCAGTTAAAATGACAGTTAAATAAATTAAACATTTGTTCAATAAAACATATGTAATAAACTAACTTCAATAATTGATTATGAATAAGATTAACATCTTATTTTTTAGCATTAATAACTTATTAAATTATGTTTGAAAAATAATTGAGTTCTATTAAATGTTTTTTATTCCAATTTTTTTTTAATGATTTAATACAAATATATTATCAAAAACGGTGGTAATCAAATAAAAATTTAGCAAGCATTTTAATCCTTTTATTTTTAGCCAAAGTACTGCAAAACAGATTTAGTCAATTAAACCATGGACAAACAATATATATTCCTTAAAGAATGCCTAAATACATTTTAGTATTATTGTTGGTGTTTAAACAGAACTTCCTCTTAAAAAAAGAGGAGGAGACCGAAAGAAACTCTGGGTTTACTGAAGAAAACCTGCTCCCGACTAGGTTAGGTTCACAGAGTAAGTTCCCATGGTAACTGACTTTGATTATAAGTTACCTCTCTTTCAGAAACGGGCTTGACTTACTCTGCTTTCTCGAGTTTGATATACCCCCCCTTTCTGAGTTTCCCTCATTTCAGGGTTAACATATACTCAGAGTTTTCACTTAACCTCCTTTCTGAAACAGACCCCCATTCTTCCATATTAACACACACAAACAACAGGTGTTTTAACCACACGTAATAAACATATGGTCACATGACTTTCCCATTAAATGGCTCCTGATTTAATTTTTTAATCGGTAACACTCTTATACATAAAAAAAAAAAAAACACTCTTATACATCATTGACTCTTAGACACTTTGAAATAAGTGTGCTCGTGTATTTTTGTGTATTTTAGGAGATTGACTCACTGCAACCTAAGTACCAGCTGGTCAGCGGTCTGACAGATCCAAACGTAGCTGGTGTGATTGATGCACGTCAGAGGGCCGAGCAACTACGACAAGAAGCAAAAGATCTATTAACAGACTCCACCACCAAACTACAGAGACTAAGAGGTAACAGTCCTCGAATATAAGATTATAGATTGAACTATGATTCCTAACGTTTCTCTCAATGTATCTGTTCCAGAGCTGGAGAGATCATTTGTGATAAACCAGCACACTCTGCTGGAGAAAGCTCAGGAACTGGATGGGCTGGAGAATGAGGCCAGAGATGTTCTGCAAGAACTCAGTCGGAAAGTCACCATCTACAGCACTTGTGCTTAACGACCAAGAAAGCTCAGATTATAATCAGTTGAAAACCATGTAAATGCACTTTTGTATTGTCTAAAATAAGTTACTAACTGTGCAAATGCAATTCATTTAAGAAATTACAATGAAAAGCAATATAAGATTTTACTAAAACCACTTAATATATTATGCCCTTTCTGAACTATGGAAAAAGTTCACTTAGTTTATGTCGTCCTATACATGATATTAAAAATCCTGCAGGGTGCAATAATAATACATCTATCTCAACAAACATTCCTCTGTGACGATTGTGGACAGCAAATCAGGTTGGGTTTTCAACTGTCGACGAAAGGTCGCCTGTCTCGAATGCTTTCCATCTGCTCATCTTCAATACTCCAGTCATCTAGTCAGAAACTACATTTCCCAGCATCCCTCCTGTCCCTCACCTGCACTCGCTCAGCCATCATCCACACTCCGACTCCAATCTGCACCATCCATCGACCGGAAGTTGAAGCCTCGCGGGAGCTGCCATCTTGTAGCAGAACTTCACTTGCGTTAGCATTCCCATTGACTCCCATTCATTTTGGCGTCACTTTGACAGCGAATAACTTTACATCTGAGGCGTTTGAAGACCCCATTTGTCCTTTATTTATTTCTAAAGAAACACGACAATGTATAAAATGCTCCATTACCTTGTAGCTTATGTTATGGCCCCGTAGAAGCAGATTTTTGTAAAAGTAGGCAAACGATTGCGTCATACCCACGTGACTCTCTGTCGCACCAACGCCGCATTCTCATCCCAAAGCGCCATATAGGACGCTTTTGCAAAAGCGTAAATATCCAACGCACATGGCACCCTTTAACGTCTAAAGCCTAGTTCACACTACATGATTTTAAAATGTCGGGCTGAACTGTGCAGTTCACACTAAATGACTTGCTCTCAGTGAAATCATGAGTGTTCAAGTTGTTTAGCTGTTCACACCACACAACACAACGTGATTGATCCACAACAGGAGGTAACTCACTACACGAGTTGACAACACACTACATAGAGATACAACCACGATCGGATGATAAGAGCATATCATTTGTGACTCAACGAGAGCTGTTTCAGTACTATAGTACGGTCTAAATCCTGAAAATAATCAAACAAATAACGAGTTGACAACAACACGATTCTATCTGGTCTAGAAACCATGTTTTGTCACGAAAAACCACGGAATAAAACGAACCAGAAATGACGCGAAACTGCAGAGAAGAACACAACACACGAATATGGACGTCAGACAGAAACTAGTGCTGCACACTGTTTGCTCGACGATCTGCTCTGAGAAAAAAAAATGCAAAAAAGAAAAGAAAAAGTAAGATTTACCTGGTGTCCTCAACCCATGCGTTGCTATGATTGGCTGTACTCATGACATCACTGAGATTGAGTCGCGCGACTGCTCGAGATATCTAGCATGCTAGATATTTTTCTGAGCTCGGTGACCTGTCTGCGAGGTGTCTGCGAGCTGTCTTTGGTGCGTTGTTGGCTCTTTCACACTAACGGATTGGCGAGCGTTAATCGTCCGCTAATCGCCCGCGATTTGCACGCGATAACACCCTGACTTGTCGGCGACTCAACGATTTGCAAATCGGGCTTAAATCGGGCTTAAAATCACGTAGTGTGAACTAGGCTTAATGAGACGCTTCAGTTATGGTTAAGTATGGTGTAGGGTAAGGGTTAGACCACTAGGGGGCGCCTTCTGCCCAAATATATCTGCGTCTCATTACATTAGACGTTAAAGGGTGCCATGTGCGTTGGATATTTACGCTTTTGCAAAAGCGTCCTATATGGCGCTGTGGGATGAGAACGGGCTCGTCGCACAGTAGTGTTACCCAAAAATCAAACAGCACAGATAGAGATGTAAGTTAGAAAAGATAAGAACATAGCTAACATACATTTTCACATTAAATACTTTCTTAGTCCACAACAGTTCCACCATATGAGAGATAAACAACGTGTTTAAATAAAGACAGGATCATACAATAGGTAAAATGAGGAGATTTATTTTTAGGTTTTGATCATATTTAAAACCAGACCAGTTTCCTACCGGATGGACACTGAAGCATGTGTAAAACAAATAAAATCACTTTTCCCATGCTTAGAGAAAAAAAAAAGGCCTTTTAATCTTAGTTCAGGTTCATGGGTAAATTTGATGTTGTGGCTTGTATAATTTTCAGTCAAAACCACAGGCAGGCACACGCACACTCAAAAGGAACAGTTGTAGTAATGCTTAAATCAGTTTGCATTGTGGGAATCATTAAAGCTTACATTAAACAAAGCTACTTAAAAATATATAAAAATAGTAATTCTAACTTCCACAAAGAACAGTTCAGAATGCGTTACATAAACATTTGTTTCCGTCTGTTGTTCTATAACCCCCGAGGCATTTCTATTAGCAAACAAAAAGAAAGTGTTTGTTTCCATCTTTTGTGGTCAGTCCAGAGCACCGCTGATCAGAATAATAATTAAAAAACAAAAACAGAACTTTTTAACCATTTTAAAGTGTCGGTGAAAAGAACTTCAGGCCATTTCATTAGTACAAATAATGCTAGAAAACGTAATCTTAGTAAACGAATGAAACTCACAAAGCATGCCAAAAACATGTCTGGTTTGTATTTCACCCTGAATTCCTATATACATATATATATATATATTTGCATAAAGAAAATCAAGCCCTTTAAGACAATTACATGCTCTGCATTCTAACATATTTATAATTAATCACATTCTCCAAAAATCTCATTACTGCAATAAAATATCACTCATTATTAAAATGAAAAATATTGTCCAATTACTTTTTAGAATCACATTCTTCAAAGTAATAAAAACCTAATGAGAATCAAGAATAATGACAAGTACTCACCCATAAAAACACACCCAGTAAAACATAAAAAAAACAACAAACAAATATCTGGTCCCTAAATAGTCTTAATTTTCTTTATGCTATATATATATATATATATTCTCTCTTATGACAGATTGCGAGATGAAATATGACCCAGATTTGTTTTTGTGAGCACAAACATGCCATCGCCACCCAAGAAAGCACATAAAATGTGTAAAAAAAAGGTGGTAAACCTTTACTTTTAAGACACAGCTGACGAATTGAAACATGTTATTCGAAAGTATAACAATACAGTCACAGAGATGGACCGGTTTCTGCTACAGTACGTCATGAATACTATCTCGTTCACTTACAAACACAAAATGGACCAAAAGTGTATGTTAAAGCCATTGTCTTATGAGTCACATTTTGAAGGGACGATCCCTGGAGGAGCACTTTATCTGACCCGAAACGTCACGAAACACAACACGCATGTTTTACGTCCCTCATCTAGGCAGTAGCATTCGTTCTAAGGCGCACTGCAAGTGCTCCCAGTTGCTCCAGCCATACACCAGTAGACAAACGCATACGAAAGTCCCGAAAACATGTAGACGACTTCTCATTAGTGGAGCGGAAAACTTCGCAGCCGTGGAGACGCACACCAAGATCACAGTGACGATGGCCAGCATGATGTTAATGCATTTTCCCAGCAGCACTTTGGCGTCGGTACCTTCCAACTGCAAGACTTGCTGCTGCTGTTGCTGTAACTCCAACTTACTCACTCGCGTCTGACAAACCTCTAAAGCATCCTGCAAACAGGGAAAGACAGAGATGCAACGATTCCAGTTGTCAAATCTGATTGCTGATATTTAATAAAACAGAAGCTGGAAAACTGGAGGGAATATAGAAGGAAATTGCTGTCGCCGCACTAAAAGGGTTAGTTCACCCAAAAATGCTAATTCTGTCAGTATTTACTCAACCTCATGTTTTTCCAACCCCGTAAGACCTTCGTTCATCTTCGGAACACAAATTAAGATATTTAAGATATTAAGATCGCTTCTGCATACAGTCCATAGGCTTCTTGAGGGAATGACTCTTGCTGGCCTCGAAAAGTCATTAAAGACATCGTTAAAATAGTCCAAGTGACTACAGTGGCTCAATTTTAACTTTATCAAACGACGAGAACACTTTTGTGCGCAAAAACAAACAAAAATAACGACTTTATTTCAACTATTCACTTCCTTCTCCATAAGCCTGTAGTCAGTTAACATAGTGTGATAGCGTAGAGCTACGTCACACGTAGGCTCACTATTGGCCGACGCTGGTCATGTGTGTGATGCGTGTGACGTACAATAACAGAAGCTTACGCTATTAAACTAGTAACCTGACTCGCGCAGAGGGAGAAATAAACGAATAGTTGAAATAAAGTCGTTTTTTTTGCGCACAAAAAGTATTTTCGTCGTTTGATAAAGTTAAAATTGAGCCACTGTAGTCACTTGGACTATTTTAACGATGTCTTTGATGACTTTTCGAGGCCAGCAAGTGTCATTCCCTCAAGAAGCCTATGGACTAGTATGCAGGAGCGATCTTAATATCTTAAATATCTTAATTTGTGTTCCGAAGATGAACGAAGGTCTTACGGGGTTGGAACAACATGAGGGTGAGTAAATACTGACAGAATTTTCATTTTTGGGTGAACTAACCCTTTAAAGTCTGTTTTGCGAAGCGTGATGCTCTGGCTTCTTTTGGGAATTTTTTTTGTTGAAGGAAAATCTATAAACTAAATGGCCAAATTATGTTTGAAAGGTAAGTGTTTAGTTTATTAAACCAAAATCAATAAAATCACACTTTGCCATCATCAGCATCCCAACCTGGTGTGCTATGATTGTAAGATCCATCATTATCAGCATAGTTCAATGATTCTGTGTTTCCCAAAACCATAGTTCCAATGAAAGTTTGCAAACAAAAACACAAAGTCGCTAATATACCCAGCCAAAAAAAAAGTTGGTTTGGATTTAAATTGGCAAATGCTTATGAATCTATAATTATTATGTTTTTTAGCATGTTATATATTTGTCAACCTTCTGTAGCTTTTAATGTAGGATCATGGCCATATTCTAGGATGACCAAGATGCATCAGGCTCAAATTGTGAACGAATGGTTGGGAGGGAGCATGAAGAACCATTTTCACACATGAATTAGCACCTCTGAGTCCAGACCTTAAACTCAATGAAAGTCTTTGGGATGTGCTGGAAGAGACTTTACAGAGTCCTGGCCTCTTGCATTGCCAATACAAGATATTGACCAAAAATAACATCACAACATTTTCCATCAAGAGGTGCATCCATTTTTGGTTAAAGGAGAACTCCGGCGCAAAATGAACCTTTGGTCTAATAACACATTGTTACCTAGTCAACCGTTGTCTGAGATTTGTTTTCATGATTGCCGAATGTAAATAGTTTTATCTCTAAAAACCGTTTAGCCTATAATGCTAGTATAATGCTAGTATATGGGCCATAGAATAATGACAAATAAAAATCGCTTTTTATTACCACTAACAAGGCTCAAAATAGCCCCACACCAACACGACAGCATAATAAGAGTCCCTACATTCAAACCGAAGCGTTGAGAACTTTGTCAGTGTCCATACAGTTTAATAAGAAGATATTTTATACACACAGTCAACTTCGCGAATACAGGAAGAAGCCATCTTTGAAACATAGTCTCTACCAGTCGATTTACGAACGCCGATCCAAGTGCGCTGAACTGTGCAGAATCTCATATGGTCCGTTGTTTCCGGAAGAAACACGAACACGAACCGCTTTCTTCTCTTCAATATGTACATGTAGCCTACTGTTCGCGCTCATCTTATCACCTTATTATCTCACTAGCGCACATGGATCGGCGTTCGTAGATCGACTGGTAGAGACTATTTTTCAAAGATGGCTTCTTCCTGTATTCGCGAAGTTGACTGTGTGTATAAAATATCTTCTTATTAAACTGTTTGGACACTGACAAAGTTCTCAATGCTTCGGTTTGAATGTAGGGACTCTTATTATGCTGTCGTGTTACTGTGGGGCTATTTTGAGCCTTGTTAGTGGTAATAACAAGCGATTTTTATTTGTCATTACTCTATAACCTATATACTACCGTTATACTAGCGTTATAGGCTAAACTGTTTTTAGAGATAAAACTATTTACGTTCGGCAATCATGAAAACAAATCTCAGACAACGGTTGACTAGGTAACAATGTGTAATTAGACCAAAGGTTCATTTTGCGCCGGAGTTCTCCCGATCTTGTTTCATAAAGTAGGGTTAGAAGAACTGATGCAAATGTAATAATCACTGCAATAATGATCCAATAATTGACTCTTAAGCATTTACCAAGCAGTATTTGTAGCCTATGTATGTATCTATACATGTATGTATATGTATATAATGTATGTAACCTCGAACCGATTAATTAAGTGAAGCTATTTCCCTGATGTTCCACATACTACGCTAGTACTGTAGATGGCAGCAAAAACGAAGCCCAGCTTTGCCTCAGTCAATGACGTGAGTTTGGGACGGGATTATCTGCACAGTCAATGGCAAATAAAGGGGGAATGTTTGAGAAACCTGTATGAAAATTCGTTTAGTACAACGAGAGGCACAGAAATAGCATCTCACTTAAAAAGTAAAGTGCGTTACAGTAAAGACCAATGTATACTGTGGTTTTTACATAAATGCGGGCGACCACCAATTTATTGGAATTTAGATGTGATTTTGACGTGATAAAACATTATCGAAATTCTGCTTACGTCTTGTGGGAAGCAGAACAAAAATCCCAATTTCTGGAATGGGTCACCCTAGAGAGGGTGTGTGTAATTTTATCATCAGCACCCTTCTTTTTTTGTCCACCGTGTGCCAACACTGATAGAGATTACCCGGAACTAGTTATAAATATTACAAAAACATCTTTATCTGTCATAACTTTTGGAGAGAAATAGCACAGACACTGGACAAAGATAAAACTATCTAGGGTGCACGTGTCAGCAGCGCACACTATCATAACATAAATAACAAAACTGTCAAACTATCAAAACTGAAGTATCGGGGGTTAACGTTGGACCTGTAGTGTTTTTCAGGACAGTTACTATATATGGAGTAAGATTTTACTGTGGGTTGTTGTAGTTGTGGCTGGTTTGGACTAAAGCTCCAAATAACATGACATTTCTTTGATTGATCACGTTGTGGCTGGATAGGACATGGAATAACACTAGGTTCCTTATGAGCGCTGAACATAACTTTAGGATAGTGCATGTCATTGCATGTGTGTGTCTGCATTTACCTGTATATCTCTGGCTCGTTCATAGGCTTGATAGGCCATTTTTTCCTCAATGCTTGCTAGTTCCTGTTTGAGATTTGCCGTCTCATTCTGATGAAGCTCAGTGAGGTCATTAAGCTGATCTTCCAATCGCTCACACCTTACAGAGGAACAACATGAATATTCATTTAGAGGATTGTGAAATATTACATTTAACAGTACTGTTTTAAAGAAGAACTTTAAGCGAGATGACGGTGAAGGTAAAAGAAAAAAATTCGAATTTAAAAATATGATAAATGAGCATACTAAATATCCATTGTCGAACATTACCGATAAATGAAAGTAGCATTATTTTTAATATATAACTCAATGCTACAGATGTATTACTCACCCCCATGTCATCCAAGATGTCCATGTCATTCTTTCTTCAGTCGAAAAGAAATTAAGGTTTTTGATGAAAACATTCCCGGATTTTTCTCCATATAATGGACTTCAATGGGAACCAAACGGTTCAAGGTCCAAAAGACAGTTTCAGTGCAAAATGCAAACTGTTCAAAGGGCTTTAAACGATTCCAGGCGTTAGAATTCGCAGAATTCTCCAGCGAAATGATCGCTCGTTTAAAAAAAAAAGTTTAAGTTTTATAAGCATAAATGGTCGCCTTGCTCTGTTCTGTGATGCACGTTCGTGACTCTCCTGTTCGAACTTGTTTATCAAAATAAACAAATCTTTTTTCGTGTCATTCAATGAAAGGAAATGAACAAGTTGACTCGGGAAAAGATTCGTTCATTATATGAAGGAGAGTCACGAACGTGCATCACAGAACAGAGAAAGGCGAGCATTTGAGCTTATAAAACTTAAACTTTGTTATTTTTTTTTTTAAACGAGCGATCGTTTCGCTTGATAAGATTCATCATCTGGAATCGTTTAAAGCTAGGGTTGGGTATCGAGAATCGAGTATTGATTGGAACCGGGACTAACTTTTCGTTTTTCCCGGAATCGATCAAAAGTAAGTTAAAATTTCAATTCCTAGTTTCGATATTCACAGTTCGCCGAGCGGAAGAAGAAACGAAGAAGCGTCTACCGGAAGTGTTGGCATAACCGCGCGAGTCGAACATGAGTAGCTTACGTCGGCGGTCCAAAGTGTGGCTTCACTTTTCTAAAAAATAACGAAATCTCGGCAAAATGCAAAATTTGTGACAAAAGGAGTATTTCCTTCAGAAAGACCGTTGGTTAGCAAGGTTAGCTAAATTTTTTTGACCCTGCCTCTTAAAAGAATCGGAATCGAGAATCGTTAGGAACCGGAATCAAAACAAGGAATCGGATTCGGAATCAGAACCGTTCAAATTCAAACGATACCCAACCCTATTTAAAGCCCTTTGAACAGTTTGCAGTTTGCACTGAAAATGTCATTTGGACCTTGAACCGTTTGGTTCCCATTGAAGTCCATTATATGGAGAAAAATCCTGGAATGTTTTCATCGAAAACCTTAATTTCTTTTCGACTGAGGACCAAATGACATACGGATGAGTAAATTATCAGCAAAAGTTTTTTTTTACACGTTTGCATAAAAAAAATGGAGTATGAAAGACAATTAACCTGAAGCGCTCCTCTTGTAGTGTTTGTGTAATATTCTCAAATTCACATTTAAACTGGGTCTTCAGAGTGTCAATGTCCTCTGCCAGTAGATTCTGAGCTTCCTTCAACTCCCTTATCTCCTCCCAGGCTTCCACCAGCCGGCTGCTGCTTTCCCCTTGGCCTCCTACTCTCGCAGACCCGCTGTGCTGCCCCGTCGCTCCCGATCCAGTCACATGACCGTTACTCTCAATCGACACCGATGTCCCTGTGGAGCACTCGTCATCACTCGGGTATTTGGGTTTAGGGGTTAGCGTGGCGCTGCCGCTCAGAGTCCGGGCTCCCCCTTCCGCCTGCAGCCCGCTTCCCGTCTCCATGGAGCTCTTCAGCTGCGCTATGTTGTCCGCGCTACCGAACTTGTTGCGAATGAGGTTTGCTATCTCTCTAGGCTTGCTGAAGAAGAACGGCGGCGACAGCGAAACGCCAGGGCCAACCGTCCTGACTTTGTCCAAATGTACGTGGCGCCCACTTCCCGTGACCACGCTTTCCTTGAGGTTGTCTTTGGGCATCTCGTTTTCTTTGGAGTGTGTGGGCGTGTGCTTGGTCCCGTTCGAGATGTCGCACTCCTTCATCTTGCGTTGGTACTGCTCTAGCTTCTTCTGCAGCTGAACTATATTGTGTGCCGTTTTCTGGTTCTTTTTCTCAAACACGTGTTTGATGCGGCCGCTCTGCTGCTTGTCGGCGCTGTTGATGAGTTTGAGATACTCTGCCACGTTTTCATCCTGCAAGTTTTGCTCGATTCGCAGCTGCTCTTTCACTTTGAGCACTTTCTGCTGCAGGGTGTCCAGACCAGAACGTGATCGTGGGGTGTCCCGTACCAACAGATCAGAATCCAGATCTAAGCACGTCTCAGAACCACCTCTGCGCATGACCGTCGGCACGCTAAGCGTGTTCACGTCACCGCCTCTCTCCGCCTGAAAGGAAACAGAGTGAGAATACGATTTTAAACTTTAAAAAGGATTAGGGCTGTGCAAAAATTAATTGCGATTAATCGCATCCAAAATAAAAGTCTGTGTTTACATAATATATTTGTGTGTGCTGTATATAATTATTTTGTATATATTAATTATTTATATTTATTTAATATAGATTATGTATTTATATATATACAGAATTTAAGCGCAAATAATTCTTAAATATATACATGCATGCATAGGTATTTATTTATACAAAATAATTACACACAGCACACACAAATATATTATGTAAACACAGACTTTTAATTTGGATGCGATTAATCACAATTAATTTTTGCACAGCCCTAAAAAGGATACAATAAAAAAGTATACAAGCACTTTTTATATTCCATATTAAACTTCTGGTTGTATTTATGTATGTATTAGAGCCCGACCGATAAAGGATTTTGAAGGCCGATACCGATACAAATATTTTTGGGTTTTAAAATGCGATATATCGGCCGATATTTTATTTATTTATTTGAAACTGGACATGATAGTCACAAATTTTGTCATGCTTACTTGAGTTAAGAGAACTGATGGGGATGTTCTTTTAATTGTTATTCAAGCAATGTATGTCTCGTGACCAACTGGTGGACAAACTATACAACTCCAACACTCATGACATGGTTCAAGCGTGTTTCGTCCGTTTTTATTTTATTTTTGAAATATTCATTTATCGGCCATTATACCTACCGATACCGATAGTTTGGAAAATGCCAAATATCGGTCGATAATATCGGTCTGCCGATATATCGGTCTGGCTCTAGTATATATTATAATTTTTATTCATATTTTGAATTAGCATTTGTTTTATTAATAGCTATTTATATATTTATTCATATTTTAAATTAGCTTTTTGTGTTTAGTTTATTTTTCTAATGGCCATTTTAATTTTTTTTATATTTCAATTTTCTCTTTCAGTTTTAATAATTGTAATACTTCGACTTATTTTAAGTTGTTCATCTAATACTTATTTCAGCTTTATTTTAGTGAACGAAAAATTATTCTTAATACTTTTAGCACCATTAAAGGGATATTCCACTTTTTTTGGAAATAGGCTCATTTGACAACTCCCCCAGAGTTAAACAGTTGAGTTTTACCGTTTTCGAATCCATTCAGACGATTTTTTGTTATTTAGAAGAATATCAGTAACCAGACAGTTTCTGGTCTCATTGACTTCCATAGTAGGAAAAAATATATACTATGGTAGTCAATGAGACCAGAAACTATCTGGTTACTGATATTCTTCTAAATAACAGAAAATCGGCTGAATACATTCGAAAACGATAAAACAAGTGTTTAACTCTGGGGGAGTTGTAAAATTAGCCTATTTCCAAAAAAAAGTGGAGTATCCTTTTAAGCTTTACACCTGCATCTTGTGTTTTCACTTATATGAAAAAAATATCTGCACATTTCAATTAATTAAAAGGTATAACATTGTTGACTATCCATTGGAAACACCATATGTCTAAACTTAGGTTCAAACTCAAAGAAAAAGCTTTAATAAATGAAATATTGTAGACAGCCAATAGATGACAAAGCCACAAAGTTGGAGAAAATCCAGAAAAAACGTGGCCATGAAACTGCCTGAGGAACTAAAAAGGATACAGAGATTATCAGAACAGGAAATAAGCCAAGGAACCAGTTTTACTTTTTTTAGTCACAGTCACATGACATCACTGCTCAGAACTGAAAACTGGAAGAACAAAAACATAAGCAACAGTTCAACAGTTCAAGATTTCTCAAATATAATGACTTGGATGAAGAAAATTGTTCTTTCCCCCTTCTTTTTTACCATAATAGTAAAGATTTAGGTAAGCATTTTTGGCCTGAAATAAACTGTGGACCAACTGGAGTGTAAATAATCAGATTAAGCCAGAAAATAAAATTCTTGGAATGAGGAAATGAATGGAGCTCTTCATAAGGTCACTTTATGAACCTGTGCAATAGGCTGGCAATAATAAGCCATCACTAATAGTCCCGAAGGACATAAAATGCATTCAGGCAAACTAAAGAGGTAGTTCATCCAAAAATTAAAATTCAATGATAATTTACAGGTCAGTTAATATCAAGTGGTCCGGTGGACCTGAACTTTCTTAATGCACACAGTTCTTACTTTGGTACCCACCGCAAGAGGTGTGAACCCTTCAAATTGACCCACAATTTCCATTAACATGTACTGTCAAGTGAAATCCAGTCATTTCAAAAGGAATCCACACAATTTGAAAAATTTCGTTAGGGTGAAAGATTTCCCCACACAATTTCCACATAGGGTTCACGCACATTAAATGTGTTGACCAAAAGAAAGATGCTTGGTTTGCTAATGTGTTAATGTGACCACACCTTAAAAATGTAAATTTAATCAAATTTGATCACTGCATTTGGAAAATTTTGTTCCAAGGAGCATAGACCATCCTAATCCGAGATATTGAGGTTCCCATTAACATCTGTAGAAGCAATAGCCTATTTGTAGACAGTTGCCATGGTTAAACCAAGTAAAATAACAAACTGGTGGTTTTGCAATAATAATAAATTGACGTGAATCGTTTAAAATAATTAAAAAAGAATCCAACTTTTACAATTCATGGATCACTTGAAGTGGACTGACCCTTACGATACGATTCTTGTTCTTCCTTGCAACACAAAAGGAGATATTTACTATTGCATAATGTCTTAGGTGCCGAAACTGATGCCGATTTAAACTGTCAAGTTGTTAAAGGGTTAGTTCACCCAAAAATGAAAATACTGTCAGTATTTACTCACCCTCATGTTGTTCCAAACCTCTATGTGTTTATTTGTTCTGCTGAACACAAAGGAAGTTATTTGGAAGAATGTTTTAATCAAACAGATCTCATTCCCCATTGACTACCATAGGAAAAAATACATACTATGGTAGTCAATGGGGAATGAGATCTGTTTGATTAAAACATTCTTCCAAATATCTTCCTTTGTGTTCAGCAGAACAAATAAACAAATAGAGGTTTGGAACAACATGAGGGTGAGTAAATACTGACAGTATTTTCATTTTTGGGTGAACTAACCCTTTAACAGACTAAAAAGGCACCATAAAAGTAGTCAATACCACCATTTTTCTTTTAAAGAGATTTGATAGCTTTAGAATTTAAAGGTTTATTCATTCTTCCTGGCAAAAATCTCCCTGGCAACTCAAATCAGTACAAAAATAGTGCTTTCACTTATTTAAAGCATGAATTAGACTTGTACTGTAAGTGAAGGTAGAGCTATTCTTAGCCAATATGAACAATAATAATTGATAACTGCTTGTTTTTGGTTTTTGAGTGAATTATCCTTTTCAATTTCCCTGAATCAATTTTCCCTTCTACAACAAAACTATGAGGATTGTTATTTCTAATCAGGCCATTCATTCCCCATCCTTACTAAGAGCAACATTCAGCATCACAACACGCACAAACCCGCTAACAAGAGACAGATGGAGGCTGTAATTTATGAAGTTATGAGCCATCAGTATGGCTTTAGAAAAGCAGAATACTTATTATCAGCTCTTATGGGTGAATTATCCACATATGCTTATATAAAAATGTCAGATGTTTACAATGAAATCAAATTTGACGGTTACCATGGCAGCTAGCCATCGAGCGGTAACAGACCGACAGAGATCACGGACATGGGCTTTTATGACTCGACTGGAAGAGAGGGAAGATAAGACAAGTAAATGCAGACCACAAGGATCAAATACTCCATGGACTCAACAAGCATTACTGACACAGTTCATGAATCGGAATAGAGATTTTTCCATAAAATACATCCAATTTGGGTTCAAGCGTATGACAACACTTAATGCTTTTATTTTAACAGACGTTTTCACACTCAAACCACATTGGCTAAAAGCTCTTTGGTTTAATCTGTGGTGATGGTGACGACAAAAAGCAGTTCAGCAAATGTCAGACATCAGTTCACTTTTTCTTAGGGTTCAGGGCTTAACAATAAAGATGGTCCAGAGTCCTGGGACAGTTGACTGAAGCTTTGTTGCGATGTTATAATCTCACTAAATCTTAGGTTCATTGATAATTTTTTTTACAGCTCTAAAGCCTAAAAATACCATAATATTTTTGCATCTGAAAAACTTCAGTCTCAGAATGTCTGTTTTTGTTTTGGTCTGTGTGATTCCACCCATTGACAATTACACTGTAAAAAAATATTGTTGGTTTAACTTAGAATTTTAAAGCAAACAAGTTGATTGAACTGGAAAAAGTGAGTTAATACAATGAAGGAGATTGATTTAATCATCAGAAACTCAAAATATTAAGTTATCTCAACTAAATAATTTATTTAAGTTGATTTGACAAAAGAAAAAATGTTGTGATAACAAATCTTGAAAATATTTTTTTACAGTGTAACTGGGCATTGGATCTGTAGTTCCCAGCATGCTTTGCAAGAGGGTCAATTTATGGAAAAAATGATTATTTTATGTGTTTTTCAGTAAATGGAAAGTTAATGTTAGTTAATGTTAGTGTTTAATGTTCAGTTATGTTAGAAACTTAGAGTACTTTCTTTAATCTTTTTGAATGTTTAATGTTTTACCATTATGCAAAAGAGTGGTGACTGCATTTAGGTCAGTATTGTGTTCAGACTCAACATTGTACTATCTGTGCTGGAAACCTGTTCAGGAAACCTGTCTATCATTAGAAATGACCATAGAGTCAAAATAACTAAAATTATAATGTTGGTGAATTAAGGCAGGTCAAAAACTAAATGTAGTTAACCTGACAAAACTTTATCTAGTAGGAATGACTAAATTTATTTAAATTCATACAACAAGATTACAACAAATTATTTCAAACTAATTTGAATTTGTTAGAAAAATATAATTCAATTTCGTGGAAAACCTTTCCTTAATTTAATTAAGTTTGTTCAACAGATTCATTTTTTGAGTGAATTTCATATTTGGAATAATACAATTGTCATATAGACAAAAA